TGTGTAGGAGTAAACATGATGGGGGGATGAGATTTCGCCAGTTTGAACATTTTAACCAAGCTCTTTTAGCTAAGATTGGCTGGCGTATTCTCAATGGACCTCATTCCCTCCTTGCCCAGGTATATAAAGGGAAGTACTTCCCTTAAGGTTCATTCCTGAGCGCGACAGCTAGATCACGCCCCACATGGGGATGGCGGAGTATCCTTTATGGTCGACAGTTATTGGAGATGAGTTTAAGATGGTAGGTTGGCAATGGCCAATCGGCCTCTCTTCTTCACTCTAGCCAGATTCCTGGGTGCCAGCTCGATCCCCCTTGCTATAATATGTTGATCTTGCCAGATGGAGGTGATCCCTTGGTGGCGGAGGTTATCTTTGAAGGAGAATGGCGGTGGTCTGATGATAAGCTTAGTCAACACGGCAGACGGGGTTTTTTCCCGGTAAATTCGGCTTACCATTTGACTGTTGAGTTGGACAGGAGGAGGGGTTGGTGGCGATCCTCGGTTAGTTGGATCCTATAAGCCAAGTTGGATCGGGCTTTACCAACTACGGAGGCGCTTATGGAGAAAATGGTTCATGTGCTTCCCCAGTGTCCAGTTTGCTGGGATAGCCCGGAAATGATGGAACATCTGTTTCTTTATTGTCCGGTTGCGCGGGCTCTCTAGGACTATTCAGGGCTGGAATACTTGGGGGAGGGTTTGCCTCGGCACACCTTTCCACTATTTCTCAAACGTCTGCTGGCGCTGATCCATCAATCGTCGTTGGTGATGGTTGTTGTTGCCATCCTTTGGCGGATCTGGCGGTCTCGTGATTGGGTTGTCTTTGAATGCAAACAGTTTGGGATCCCTGCGCCCATGCGTCAATTTAACCAACAATATGAGGAATGGGTGGGCTTGCCAACAGACCTGGCTCCTAGGGTGACGAATCTGTTGGTTCAGCCAGAGTCTCCTGAGGGTGATTCACGGTTGGTTTGCATGTGGGATGGGGCCACTAGGAGTGGGTCCCATTCGGCTGGTGGGATGGTTATTTTTGACCCGGCGCAGACGCTCCTTCTGGCAAAAGGGGTTCAGTTTCCTCAAATGGATGAGCCTGTAGTAGTGGAATTGCTTGTGCTTCGGGAGGCTTTTGTTTGGTGTTTGGAGTGTGGCTTGTCAGAGGTCCGGTAGCTCATTCGGTAGCTAGAAAAGCCCTCTCTTTGTATCCGACTATGAGTCGCTTCTTTGATTTCCGGGTCTGGCTAGTTTCCAGGATGTAACTATCTATTTCTTTTTTATCAATATATGATATCTTTTGACAAAAAAAAATTATTTAGTAACCAATTTTAACGAATTTCATTACGTGGTTAATTTATTTAAGTTCAAGTATTGCATTATGTCATTTTATGCTCAATCTTTATGTTTACGTTAATTTATGTGCAGACGAGCTTTTGTGTTATGTTGTTAATGTTTAGTTCTTAAATTTCATCAAACACATCATTGCATTGCATCAATAAGCCAAGTTTTAAGATATGGGAAATAACTTGTGTTTTAAGTAAGCTGATTTATATCTTTTCACTATGTGGAATATTATGTCAAGAAAGTATAAGTTATGTTATGTTAAACAAGTAAACAAGAACAAGTTTTAAACCTCTTTTACTAGCTCGCACACGGTCCCCTCACTTCCAGGCTGCCACTACGGGAAAACAAGCCTTTCGCAATACCACGTCTACAACACTATTTAAAAGTTTAACATAAAGTATATAATAACGACACTTTCTTTTAGTGTTACTGAATATTGTCTTTGGCAACACCATGGTTGCAACACTCACTAAAAGTGTTGCTTAATATAGACAATGACAACATCTTATTTAGTGTTACTTAAAATACTGTAAATAAGTTATCAATTAATTTGTACTTTATTTGGTTATATCATATAGCCAATGCTTATATTGCAAACAATATCTTTTCTCCATTTGCGTAGTTTCGACAACTTCTTAGAACATTGGCAAAGGTTAAGTGTTGGGAAATTTAGTCCAACATTTCTTAAATGTGCAAGAAGTCGAACCATTTTGCCAAATTAAACATGTTTAAATGTGATCATAATAATCATGTTTAGGGGTGGATAATAATCCGGTTCACACTGTACCAAATGAACCAATCGTGCTTATGATATGGCCTGATTTTTGTTTTTTCCTTTGTGTTTGGTTCGGTCCTAATTTAATCTGGTTCTGGACCAAATTTATTGATGCCCATAATATGACCTAACATCGGTGTCTTGATTATCATAGTCACGCAATAAGATCAATCAAGGGATTGATTGATGAAAACGGGGTTTCTTGGCACAAAAAAGGGTATGGCGTTGGATGGAAGGATCGTCGACCAACTTCTCACATGGGAAGAGGCTCGATCAATATCATGTCAGAATTCGGCCATGATTGAAGGGCCTATTCAATCAATACGAAAGCAGAATTCTCTACTGGATCACAACCAACATGAGAACACGAAAAAACTTGGTGACAAGGTCACTTTTCCACTCATCTAACAACAATCCATTACACTCGTGTTTTTGGATTTAAATAGAACTAAATCTAACCCAATTAGAATACTCTACGAACAAAGAACCACAATCTAACTAAACTACTCGAAAAGGAAAAATAATCCAATGTGTAAAAGGAAAGAAAACTCGACATAAACAAGCTTCCACAACAAGTTGCCTTCCTGCAAGCAATCATTCAAACAAGCCTCTATAGCTACTTTGAGCTCTTTGTTCTAAGGCTTCCAGGTATACTCGAGCTCATCCGACTCCACTATGTTCTTCAGTAAGTCTTAGGCTCCTAATTCCAACTCGCAGCTGCCCTCGACTATCTCTCAAGCGGGTCTAATAAGGCTTCAAAGTAGGTAGCTCAAAACAACTTCCACACTTAGCCAAAATTAAAGCTTTTTGTGTTCCTTTAATCCATGGCTTGGTTCCGTCTTTGCAGTTGAATGGAGAGCAATATCAACCCACCCCTTATCACATTATCAAAACTCAAATTACTTCATTGATGGGGTTGATTTTCGGTTCAATTTATCTGTCAACCTGGCGGGTTAAATGAGGAATATGGGTACTTGGTATAGCTGGATAATAACTTGGTGTATTTTAATCTTGGATTCAAAACTAACTTCTAATATTCGTCTACTTGATTAACATGTGGTGGTGTTACCTAAAGTCAGGATAACACAGTTTCTAAGTCAGGATATACAATGGAATCATATGTTGGGTATATAATTTTTTCCGTTGAACGGGTATTTGTTAGAGTTAGTCAATAGAGTTGTAATACCACATTGATGGAAGAAGGAAAGTTTAAGAATTGAGTCTTTTGGCAGTTTAATTAATTAATTAATTTTTTATATTAATTAATTAACGTTTGAATATTGTGAAAGGATGTGTCCTTTCGGAAGAGATAACTACCCTTCTCTGTGAAAGGATGTGTCCTTTCGAGAAAGTAACTACCTTTTATGTGAAAGGATGTGTCCTTTCGGGAAAGTAAGTTCCAAAATTCACAACTATAAATATGTGATTGCCGTAACTCTTTTGATGACGAGAGATTACTTCTTCTTCTGTTTTCCTTCTCTATTTCATAACCACAGAAGTCTGCAAGATTGCTGCTTCCAGACTTAAAATTGAAGAGACTCCTGGGGGTGGTTTGCTCGAGCCTACCAGCAATTTGTAGTGGGGGCAAATAACACTCTAAGGAGAGTGATTAATCACGCCTTCAATCCGATTCTCTCCATACCGTTTCCCTGACAGTATTTTCCCTGGGCGAGTTAGGTGTTTGCATTGCCTGGTGATTTGAGGGAAGGGCTACCACCATGTTAAGCGACGTATGCTCCATGACTGGGACATTCACGATCCCAACTTTAGGCTTCTACATTCACGATCCAAAACTATCATATCTCCAGCCCATAGATAAGGACAGGGACTTAGCTTAGGACTGTAGGAAAGAGGATAGCAAGTGACAAATTATGTCTCGGCAGGACCGTAGACATCTACGAATGAAGAAAGATCTCCGACAGTACGACATCGTAGACAGTAAGTGATGTGGTACTTGAATTGTCCCATAATAACCCTCCCATCAAGACAAGGACCACGAACTTCTTCTACCAGACAAACACGGACCTCCCTTGATCTGTCAAATACCTTGTATCGATGGCCTTCTCGATACAAGGAGTTTTCCAGACGCGGAACTCTCTTTGATCCGCTACCACTTGCTGAAACCGGATAACTCAATTAGTACGACATTGTCCTCTTTGGATCAAGCACGCGCGGTTTTACTCTTGGAAATCCTTTACAAAATGCCTCGTACTAATGAGTTTGGTGGGCACTTATAGATAAAGGTCCATCCTTTGTATTACCGATGTGGTACTTGTCCCATAACAATCCTTATATTTCCTATAACTAAATATTGTACAAGGTTTTGCTATATCACGAATTCGCGATTACTTGTGTGACAAAAGTGTTGTAATTTTTATTTATGATAAAATTTTCTTTATAGGAAAAATTGATAGAGACGTGACATCCATCTTGCATGTATGGTGTTGAGGCAAAATGATCTCTCTCGTTGTCTTTAGAATTTGTTCACCGTATCTGAAAATGTTCAATTTAAATTTTGTGTTGCCACAAAATGAGTGACCGTTCAAATCAGAATCATCATCAGTTCCTTTTTGTGTTTTTTTTATGCTTGTACCCATTTCCCATGGGTATAAAGAGGAAATTATTCCTATGCATATCTATCTAGTCATATTCCAACCAATAATAGCTACCATTCTCCAATAAATAGTACACGCAGAGGAAACAAAAGATATTTTGCCACAACAACATAATAAAGTGTGTTGAAATTCCGTTTTCAGCAAGCATTTAGTTTACTCTCCATAGAAAGGAAACAAAAGACTAAAAAAACCAATGTAATGGGGAAAAAAACAGTGTAACCAATGATGTAACCAGATTTTTTTTTAAGAAAGCGAGCGCAGAGGGGCGCTCAGCCCTTAGATATTAATAATACGCGGGGTTTGTAACCCAAGCAAATCGAAATACAGCCAGTGATTCAGCGTAGCGCTAGGGTTGTCCACAAATCGGATCCCTATACGAATAGAGTGCCCCACCGAAGCTAAGTAATCAGCAACATAGTTGCTTTCCCTGAACGCATGCATAATATGAACCTCCCATTGCTGGTTCAGCTGCCGCTTGATCGAGTTTACCAGCGTATGGTGAGGATGGGATGTCTGATCGCTTTGCAGCAAGGCAATGGCTGCGGCCGAGTCTTTTTGAACAATGAGTTTCCGCACTCCTCCATCCCACGCCAGCCTTAAATCATAATTTATGCCAGCTAATTCCGCATCAGTTATGGAGCCACCACCAAGGTTCACATCAAAAGCTACCACAAAACGGCTGTCAGCGCCCCGGAGTACTCCTCCCACTGCTGCACTTCCTTGGCTAAGTATCACTGAGCCATCTGTATTTCAACATGTCCACCCCTAGGTCGGGGCTTGCCAGCCAATCATTCTATTCTCCTGGTCTGATCTTCCCCCTATAACTCGTCCAACACTAATGAGGTTGGTATCGACGTGAGCTGTCAGGTAACGCGCCTTTGGAGCCATGTGAGCTGCTGGTGGCAACTCTTTTTCAAAGACCCACAAGTTCCTGTTCTTCCATAATTGCCAGCAAAAAGTAGCAAAGAGTGGCGGGGAGATTACCATGCTATGGCCAGCCAAATAGTGTAAAGCCCACTTTGCAAATCAAGTTCAAAAAATACTTCATCAGGCTCGCCCAGGAGTACCTCCGACCAGGCATCCCTGGCGTATGGGCAGTCTCTGATTATATGCAGTATCGTCTCAAGATCTCCTCCACAGATGGGACACGAATCCGACTGAGCAAGGTGGCGTCTGCATCTCTCAGGGTTCGTGAGGAGGCGCTGATGCAAGGCTAACCAAAAGAACGTTCGTGTTCGTTGGAGTCGTTGAACCCGTCATGCTATCTTCCAAATGGGGTGCTGATGATGTTCGTCCTCACCTCCCGTTAACTCATATGCAGTCCGCATAGTAAACCGCCTCGAAGAAAAGAGCCGCCAAATCGGCACGCCAGGCTCCTCGCCTTGCGGGACCGGGTGCAAAAGGAGTTGTTGATCTATTTCCTCAGGGAGGAACGCACAAGCGAAAACCTCATTCGAGCTGCCATTTAAAATCATTTCAGCCACCGTAATTCTTCTTGCTTCATCGGGGAGATTCACCACAAAATTGGCAAGTGGCGGCGCGGCGCCCCATCTTGAAGCCAACGATCAGTCCAGAAAAGAGTAACAAGATTTTATGTAAGGGGTTCCTATTTTTTATATGAGAAGCTATTACTTTTTTACATTGATTCGCAACATTTTTCCTGCTATATCTTAATGAATAACACTTTTTAGGCTTATTTTTCATTATATGTATGCTCTATTGTACACTGCGAGAAGAGAATATTATTGATGTGAATCTATATTAAGAAATTTGAACTTTACTTCCAATGGATATACTCGATAAATTTACAAATTTTTTTTTTTACTTATGTAAGACATCCAGTCGTGCTCATTTGCTTGCTCCATGTTGATATTGGGTCGGTTAGCTTGCTAACCTCTTTAAGAGGTTGGAAAAATGACAACCCTATTAATTATAGTTATTTTAAGCTAACCTCTTTAAGAGGTTGGAAAAATGACACCATATTAATTATAGTATTTTTTTAATTAAATTCTTATTGCATTTAATAATTTTTTAGAAATAAAACTTATATTAATTACATTTTGTACGCTTCTACTATGCTAAATTAACAAACGTACCCTTTGACTAAATTTATGCACAAACATACGTTTCTAATATTAAAACGTAAAGAATATACCCTTCCGTCTAATTTTTTGTTAAGTCACCATTAAAAGTGGTACGAAATGACTCAATTACCCCTGTTTACTCCTAACACGTACAACTAATTTGGTTTTAATTATTTTGCCCCAAATTAATTAAATTAAGAACCAAACCCCTCAACTAATTCAGAGATAGTCGGTCTCGTCTAAAGTTTTCGCTGGTGATCGACTCGGCGGCAGCACATGCTTCCGGCATCTCCTTGTCGGCGACTGGAGTAGAGACGGCCAGCTTCCCGGATTCTCCCCGTCGTTCCGGCGCCATTCATTTCGAGAGCGGATCTGGTGACTAGGGGGTGCTTAGTCACTTGGCTAAGCCCCTCCTAGCCATTAGATCTGGACACTTCAATCCAATGATTAAGAAGTGGGAAGGGCTATTTAATTAATGACAGGGGTAGTTTGGGTATTATGGAAAATTACGAAGTATACAAACCGGATTTACAATCAGTACAAACCATACAAACATACGAACAGTACAAACTAGAGCGACAAAATATACTAACAGATTTACAAACATTACAAACGTATGAACTGTACAAACAATACAAACTAGACTGACAAACAATACAAACCATACAAAAAGAAAAAATAACCGGGTTGACTATGGAGGCTTCATCCCTATATAGAGAGGCTCCTTCCCAAAGTCAACCCGGGTGTGTTTTAGACATACAAACAGTACGAACATGGTGGACAAAAATGAAAAACTAGACCGACAATCCATACGAACGGGAAAAAACACCCGGGTTGACTTTGGAGGCTCCATCCCTATATAGAGGGGCTCCTTCCCAAAGTCAACCCGGGTGTGTTTTAGACATACAAATAGTACGAACATGGTGGACAAAAATGACAAGCTAGATCGACAATCCATACGAACGGGAAAAAACACCCAGGTTGACTTTGGAGGCTCCATCCCTATATAGAGGGGCTCCTTCCCAAAGTCAACCCGGGTGTTTTTTAGACATACAAACAGTACGAACATGGTGGACAAAAATTACAAACTAGACCGACAATTCACACTACAGGAAAAATCACTTTCGATCACGGGATTTCCCGTGACTGAACAGCGAATTCCCGTGACCGAAAGCTTTTGTCACGGTACATTCCCGTGTCAAGCATGCCCGTGGTCAAAGGTCAAACATCACGGGAAATCCCGTGACAGGTAATAATACAATAACGGGAAAATCCCTGTGACATAAGATCTATTTTGTCACGGTATTTACCGTGACTAACATTTAAACACGGGAAATGACTGTGACAAAGAAATGAAATAGTCACAGGATTTCCCATGACTAAAGTGATCTGTTGTCACGGGATTTTGCCTAATTGCCACGGTACTGTTGTGATTATGATCAAATTAGAGCAACGGGTTTTGTCTCAATGATCATAGGAAACCCGTGATAAATAATACTAGTCGCTGTGAAATTACCATATTATTTACCTAATTATTTTTTATAAGTTAACTAATTAAATTTAACAACAAAAGCAATTCAAACACATTAATCAATAATCTTATAAATGAATGAAATTTCAATTGCATTTTATTAATTTTAGTCTCATAATATAAATATAAACATTTTAAAAGTATAAGGAACGGATGAATGTTCCTTTGGAGAACAGTCAAGTAGCCTAAAATATAGAATATAAAGATGTAATACAACTTGTTCTAGTTACACATTGCAATCACAAGTACTTTTCATGGACTAAATCTTTCTCCAATCTAGCCATGTTGATGCTATATGCAAGCTGCAAAAAGTTCAACAAATCAAAACTCAATACATCTCAAACTCCAACTCTGCTTACACATAATAACAAAGACAACATATTTAGGTAGTTTCATGGAGTTCTCCCCTCCACATATCAAAGGAAATAACAAGGGAAGACTAGGAAAGAAACTTACAGCATCTGGATGATTGCAGACCACCAAAACACCACAAATACCTGCTAAAAAGCAGCAATTGATGCACAAAAACTTATATTATTGCTACGGTTGGATTTCATGAAAGTTGCAGTAGCCATAAACAACAAAAACATTTGGAAGATTAATAGCTAAGTGGTGAAATGGAGAGGTGGTGGAGCAGGGGAGAGGCATATGACCAACCTGCAGACATAAACAATTTCTCCACTACTTACTGCAGCTCCACTACTTGCTGTGTAAAGAAGAAAAGGCCAAGGGAAGGTAACAATTAGGATGAAAGCAAAGCCTTCAAATGGATTAGAGTGTGAAATTTGCAGCAGACAATCATATAAACTTCAATTACCATCTTCTTTTGTATACATCCTGAAACACCAATCAACCACCAATACACATTCATTTTAGAACCTCTTCCCATTCTACTTTATCCCATAGAGGATCACAACCAACTAAATCCAAGCCAAGCTGCAACAAAGCTACACTTCAAAGAAATCAGCAGCTCGCCACATCGCCCCCTATTGTCATCTCATTCGATTCAAGGTCTTTCCTCTCGACGAATCTGAAAACAGAAAGTTCAGAGAAACATAGAGTTAGGCGAATCGCCCCCTATTTATTTCAAAAACAACCTTAAGCATTCTACCAAAAAAAAACAACCTTAAGCAATTAAACTCGACTAAGTCAGAGTCAGATAGACAAACAAGAAGGAAATGCCTTCAGTTCAGAAACAAAGAAATTTCATATTGCAAAATAGGTGACGCTACTCTGCTAAACCATTCATTGTTTGCTCAACTCGAGAGGGAAAGTGACCCACCTTTAGACATTTGAAACCAAAAAAAGAGTATGAAGAAAGCAAGAACCCAAACCTAAGATTCCATCTATATATTTTATAGCCCCTGATTCGTCATTTCCACTTATAAGCTTGACAACCACAATGACGTAATACATAAAGAACAGAGGAACTTAAATGCATCCATCTATCATAGTGTAACTGGTGGTTTTGCTATAAATAATATGATTGTGTAATAAGGGAAACCTGAATGCAGAGGCATAGTTCTGCAATTGATCTGGAGAAGGGGATGAAGCCTACCGCAACTATTCTCTTAGGAATCGCCATAGACCTACATCCCTGATTGGAGCTTCAATTAGCATAACCTGCTTCCACGATAGCAAAAACCAAGAAAATCCAATAAACCCACGAACCAAGTCTAAAACCTAACATCACAAAAAACAATTGGGGATATTTTACAATAAACAAAGGAGGGAGGAGGCGGCAGGCGCATAGACGATGGGCAACGAAGGGATTGGAGAAACCTGGGAGGAACGACGAAGATGAATTGAAAATGACGACCGGAACAGGTAGAGTTCTAGAGGGGGATATCGGATTTTGCTAGATCTCAAAAAGGGGAGTTGATGCTCAGGGAAGGCAAGGATTGCATGGCTGGTCTAAGTCAGACCTGGGACTTGAGCCGCGACAGGTGTGGATTCCTAGCGTTGGTTGGTGGCTGTGGATGTGGATCTGGATTCGCTTTGGTGGTTGGTGGCCGTGGCGGACGAGTTGGGGAGGGGTTTCCAGAGCGGTGAGATTTTCTTTACTCCTTCCTTTTCTTTCCCTTTGGTAAAATCTCTTCTTTATCCATTTGATTCTCATTCATGTCTCCCCAGAG